GTGGCGCCGTTTTTCGGGTGTTCATACATTTGTTAACAAGTTTTTGGCGGCCGTTGCCGGGGACCTGGTTTAACTAGTATATTTGTGTGATTTTTGATTAATTTTGACTGCTGTGAATATTGTTTTATATTTTATTTTTCGGTTTTTATTTTTTGATTTTTATTTTTATTTTTCGTTTTGATTTTATTTATTTTATTTTTCTGTTGGATTTTTGTCGTTTTTATTTTATCTCTCTCTTTCTATCTATTATCTCGTATTCCTTATTTATATCTTCTCTATCTTTTTGTGATAACAAATTTTCTAGGGATTTGTTTTCTTGTGTATGCAGGAATCAATTCGAACTAGAAAGCAAAGAAAACCTCGGAACTTCTTCTTGAAGGCTTAGACGAGAGTAGACGGAGAGAAGAATTTGTAAATCTAGAGAACTTTTCCCTTCTCCGGAAGATCTTTTACAACCTTCACTACAAGGTTCTCACCATAGCACTGAGGAGATGGAGAATAATAATAATGTTAGACGGACTCTTGCAGATTACACCAATGTGGTTGGCCCTCTACATTTTAACAGCATAGCAAGACCGAAGGGTAAATGCAGCCAACATGGAGGTGAAACCGGCGTTGATCCAACTGGTTAAGAATAATCAATTTAATAGGTTGTCACATGAAAGCCCATATGAGCACCTCAGAACCTTTAATGAAATCTGCAATACAGTGAAGATAAATGGGGTGCCTGACGAAGCAATCAAACATATCTTGTTTCCTTTCTCATTGGGAGGCAATACTAAGCTTTGGTTAAACTCTTTTCCAGAAGGAAGCTTTACAGAGTGGGAAGCTGTGGTGGCAAAGTTTCTAAATAAATAATTCCCACAATCTAAAGTCAATAAAGGGAAGCAGGAGATCTCTTCGTTCAGACAGGGCATGGAAGAGACATTGGGCCAAGCATGGGATAGATATAAAAGTTTATTGAGAAAGACTCCCATGCATGCATTTGATGAAGCAGTAATAGTTCTATTGTTCCTTGGAGGTCTTGGTTCACAAACCAAGTTGATGCTAGATGCTTCAGCAGGAGGCAACATTAAATGTAAAACTCCAGAGGAAGCAACCGAACTGATAGAGAACATGGCTGCCAATGATAATGAATTGCATAGTGAAAGAAGAGCCTTTTTTCAACCGAAAGGGGTTCTACAATTGTAGTCAAATGATGCCTTGCTTGCCCAGAATAAAATTATAACTCAACAGCTAGAAAATATAGCAAAGACACTTACTCATTTGCCAAAGGAGTTCAAAACAGTTGCTCAAGCTCAACAACAGATGTGTGAGCTATGTGGTGGTGACCATATTAATGGTCAATGTGCATTGCCACTGGAGGCCTTAAAAGATGTAAATTTCATGAATAATCAATTTTAATACCGTCAAGGTAATTTCAATCAAGGTTGGAAATCTCACCCAAGCATGGGACAAGGTCATGGACAAACTGGGCAAGTAGGACAATTTACTAAGCCACAACAACAATCATCGTTATGGCAACAGGTGGCTACACTCTCTGATAAACAATCAAAGATGGAAGAAACTCTTAATCAGTTTATGAAGGTAACCCTCTCCAACCAAGAGAGTATGCAAGCATCTATTAGAACTATGGGGATGCAGATTGGACAGTTAACTAAGAAGTTGGAGGAAAGGTCTGATCATAGCTTTGGGGCTAATACTGAAGTTAACCCCAGAGAGGAGTGCAAAGTTTTAGTGAATGTAGAAAAATTTGAGATAGAAAAGAAAGAAGAGAAAGAAGAGAAAAGTAGTGGAAAAGAAGAGGAAAGGGAGAGAAAAGAGAGAGAAAAGATAGAGTGGTAATAGAAATTGATGATTTTACTTCTTCTCCAATAGAGAGAAAAGAGATGGAGATAATAGAGATTGATGATTTTCTTCCTTCTCCATCAGAGAAAAAGAGGCAACTTAAAGAGCTTTTCACTCATGAAAATGTTGACTTACTTGTACATGACACATGGCAACAATTCTCAGTTCAAGCTAAACACATGGAACAAATCTCCAAAAGAAAAAGATATGAAGAAGAGGAGAGAGATAAATACAAAGCTATTCAGAGGAAGCTACTACCTGCAAAAGAGAAAGATCCTGGAAGCTTCTTCATTCCATGTGTCATAGAAAAGAAAAAGGTAGATAAAGCCTTACTTGATTTAGGGTCAAGTGTGAATTTAATGCCTTATTCTTTACTTGAACAAATGGGTAATTTGAAAGTCAAACCTATAAAGATGAATTTGTTAGTGGCGGATGGTTCTTTGAAGAATCCGTATGGTATAGCAGAGGATGTTATGGTTTGTGTGGGAGAACTCAAATTCTTGGTTGATTTTGTTATCATGGAGATGAAGGATGAAAGGATTCCTATCATTCTTGGAAGGCCATTTATGAAAACGGCCAAGGTTATCATTGACGTAGATGAAGGAATTGTGGTGTTCCAAGATCGTGGCAAAAATGAAGTTATTGATGTGTTCAAAGAGGAACAGTGGACAAAAACTAGTTATAAAGCTACATGTTAGGATGTACTCATGACTAGTTACACAAGTGCAGAGTCAAGCTTAAAAGGTAAAAATTATTTTGTGTTGCGGGATAAGGAAGAAGAACAAAAGAGCAAAGGAAGGATGGTTCATGATGATTCAAGACAAACACAACCCAAACCTGGTAGACATGTGAGATTCAAAAACAGGTTATGGATTGTGAAAAACTATAAAGAAGACGGAGTGATAGAAATTGAGTCTCCAANAGGGTCAAGTGTGAATTTAATGCCTTATTCTTTACTTGAACAAATGGGTAATTTGAAAGTCAAACCTATAAAGATGAATCTGTTAGTAGCGGATGGTTCTTTGAAGAATCCGTATGGTATAGCAGAGGATGTTATGGTTTGTGTGGGAGAACTCAAATTCTTGGTTGACTTTGTTATCATGGAGATTCCTATCATTCTTGAAAGGATTCCTATCATTCTTGGAAGGCCATTTATGAAAACGGCCAAGGTTATCATTGACGTAGATGAAGGAATTGTGGTGTTCCAAGATCGTGGCAAAAATGAAGTTATTGATGTGTTCAAAGAGGAACAGTGGACAAAAACTAGTTATAAAGCTACATGTCAGGATGTACTCATGACTAGTTACACAAGTGCAGAGTCAAGCTTAAAAGGTAAAAATTATTTTGTGTTGCGGGATAAGGAAGAAGAACAAAAGAGCAAAGGAAGGATGGTTCATGATGATTCAAGACAAACACAACCCAAACCTGGTAGACATGTGAGATTCAAAAACAGGTTATGGACTGTGAAGAACTATAAAGAAGACGGAGTGATAGAAATTGAGTCTCCAAAGTCAAGAAGAATCAAGAAGGTGGACCGGAAGCAGTTGATGAGTTGGTGTGATGCTAGAAAGAGAAACATCAACATTAAAGATGAAACATGAGCTTTACTAGGTCAAGCTAATGACGTTAAAAGAGTGCTTTTCTGGGAGGCACCTCAGTTGATTTAAGAACATCATTTTAAATTTTAGTTGTGAATTTTTGAAACTTTTTAAAATAGCATCTACTGATGGATGCTAGGTGGTTAAGTATCTACTGAAGGGTACTTGGGTTTGTTACACCTACTAAGGGGTGTTGGTAAGAAAGATCTACACCTACTGATGGGTGCTGGAGGATTTTGGGTCAGGCTCGTGACGTTAAACAAGCGCTACCTGGGAGGCAACCCAGTTGATTTACTCTATTTATATTGTTTATTTTTATTTTTACTTTAGTTGCATGATAGGGATGAATACATGAGTTATCTGAGAACTTAAGTGTAGGGAGCAAGTAAGGAGCATGGGTAGAAGGCACCTAGGTTAAGCTAGGAAGAAGAAAACCAAATCACGGAAACGCCGCTCAGGGGCATTTTCCCCCTGAGTGGTAGCACCGCTGAGGGGCGTTTTCCCCCTCAGCGGTACTATCGCAGAATGCAGATTTTGGGTTTCCCTTAGCGGAACCCGAGCCCATTGGGGTATTTTTACACCATAGGTTTCGATTTGGCTTCTATTTTCAGATTTTCTTCTTCCCAAACATTTCTAAACACTTGCACAAGAGCTCTCTACATTTTCCCTTCCATTCCACTTTAGAAAACCTCTCTTCCACTCACTATTCAACTAGCTTACCATCTAAGTTTGGGGTTGGGAGAGAGCATCATTACTAAGGTTGAGTTTCATAGTTGGAAAGCATTCTCCATTCATCTAGCATCTCCACCCAAGTAAGTTAAGCATTTTTCATTCTAGGGTTCTTGAAAAGCATGATTTTGATTCTTAAAGCATGATTGTTTAGGAATTGTGATTTCTATGCATGATTTGATGAATTAATTGATGTTTGAACCAATTAAAATGATTGAATTTGGTCTGGAAGTATGAAAATCGCATTTGGGTGGAGTTAGGAAAGTTAAAAATGCATTTTTCAAAATCTGCAGAACTACCGCTGAGGGGCGTTTTCCCCCTGAGCGGCAGTACCGCTGAGGGGCGTTTTCCCCCTAAGCGGCATTCTGGCAGATGTGAATTTTGGCTTTTATTCTTGCTGGCATGGTGTACTGGTTGCGTTGAGGTGTGATTTTAACCCTTAGCGGTGGTTAAGCATGGATTTAGGATCTTGATTGTGGTTTACTAATGATTAATAACATGTCTGGTGGTTTTGTAAATTGTGTTTGATTCAGGAATGGCATCCTCTTCAGGCAAAAGAATGAAAACCATGGCATCAAAAAGGAAAAATAAGGAACCAGAACAATCCTATTCCAGTAGGTTCCTATCTCGCAAACATGAGAAGCATTTTAAGGTTGTTCAAGATAGGAGGCTCCTGATGGAGAGGAAAGCTGGAATGATACCAAATTTTGCTCCTCAATTTGGAGAGCAATTGATGGGAAGGAACTGAGAGAAGTTCGCCACATACCCTACACCAGCTAACATAGCTGTAGTCAAGGAATTTTACACCAATGCAAGGAAGTTGGGTGATTATCCAACTGAGGAGTACTTAAGCTATGTCAGAGCACATGATATTAGGTATGATCCTGATTCTATCAACAATTTCTTGGACAATGAATAGGCTGGTGAGTAGTGCCAATTTGCTTTATGTATGGAGGAAGGCACTGATTTTAATGATGTGGAGAGTGTCTTATGCATACCTGGAGGACAATTCCAGAGAAACAGAAATGGTTCTATGGTGAATATTAGGAGGAATTACCTGAATCCTCTTACAAAGTATTGGATGACATTCTCCCATGTCAACATTCAACCATGCTCTCATGTTTCAGACATCACTCTTAACAGAGCACTCTTCCTTTACTGTGTGATCAGAAATATGAGTATTAATATTGGATAGGTGATAGCTAATGAAATACATATGTGTGCTAACACGATGAATAGCAAAGCACCTCTAGGGCATCCTTCTTTGATCACACATTTGTGCAAGATAGCTGGGGTGGATACTTCTGCTCCACCATTTGAGAGGCCTAGAAAAGCAATTGATGAGGCCTATTGCAAGCAGTACTGTGGAGGTGAAGAGATAGCTCAGCCAGTTTCATAACATCGTCCTCGAGGACGAGCACAAAGTCAGGCATCTATAGAGACTCATGAGGCAGAGCCATTTCAGATGAGAGACATGTACATGTCTCTTATAGGTGCACAATTGCAATATATCCACAGAGGGTAGGTGGCCACTGTTGAGATGATTGTTGGATTATATGATACACTCCCAGCACACAGGTGGACTATGGATGAATTCCATAATGTAGTAGCTTGGCCAGAGGAGCAGGTCCCAGGCTATAGAGCTGGAGAAGCTGAAGCTTCAGCCATGGAGGAAGAAGAAGAAGATGATGATGATGTATTTGAGGATGTTGAAGATGAGGAAGAAGAGGAGGATACAGATGACAACACAGGCTGAGGAGGAGTTGAGATAGCATTCATTGATGGATGCTATCAGCACTAGAGCAGGATTTGTTTTATGTTTTGCATTATTGAACTTATTTGCTTTTGTTTTTAGAATAGGGTTGATGTACTCAATTGGAAACTTTATCTGTATTGATGGTTTGCTTGTGACTGTTGTGTGATAAGTAATGCTTGATGATGTTTTGAGCTTGATTGATTGAGAATGTGCACATTATATGCTTATACAAGTGGTTCACAAGCCTTATGAACAAATGCGTGATGTTATGATTGTGATTATGATGCTAAGCAGGATGTGTATGTGGAATATGAATGAGCTTATATGTGAGATTTTGAGCTCCAAAGTTGTTGTTGAATTACTTGTTTGCATCATATGATCAAGGCCATTTGTTGGTAACCCTTTTTGTTAGCCAAATGCATGTTGTAGTCCACAAAAAGAGAACACAATGTGTTCTATCCTTTGAACCCTTAGCCTTGAACATGATTTGAAAAACCCTTTGTGAAAAGCTTTACCTTGAGTTAAGTAGAAAATATTTTGTGGTATTGATAAATGTTCAAGTTTGGGGTTGTTGGGAAGTTTAGAAAGGGAAATTGAAAAGCATTGAGCTAAAAGTTAAAGATGAGAAAAGAAAAGAAAAAGAAAAAGGAAAGAAAAGAAGAAAAAGAAAAGCTCAATGCAAAGGAAAGTTGGGAATGATTAAGAATGATTATGTTTAGATGATTCTCTTAACTCAAGGGTTTTGTGATCCAGAAAAACCAATTTTCTTGTTAGCCCAGCCACATTATAAGCCATTGAAAAGTTCTTGTGATGATGCTTACTTGTGAATGCATTTGATTGTGGTTAAATGAAAGGCAAAGTCAATTCATGTGACATTGTGATAGTAGAGTGAATGAGTGAATATCTCCTATACACTTGTGTGTTTGAGTGAAACACTTTACCTAGTGAGGATAAATTCTATGAACACATAAGAACACCTTTGCTTAGTTGATTGATCATTCATAAAAAATAGCATTTGTTGGATATTATATGTTTGAGTGAACATTAGAAGCATGTGCACATCTTGATTGAAATTTTGTGATGAGCTAAATTGAGTATTTACTTATCTTGAAAGAAAGATTTTTGAATGCGGTGAACCATTGAATGGATTGGTAGAAGATTGAGTTACATATTATTTGCTTGAAGACAAGCAAAGTTCTAAGTTTGGAGTTGTGATAACAGTTGAAAAATTGTTATTTTCATACCTAAAATTGACTTCAATTACAACCTTTATGCCTTAGAAATTAGCTTGAACTCATGATTTTGTTGAATTCTTGGATATAATGGAGTTGGACAGGTTTTATGCTTGATTCTCTTATTTTTGCAAGTTTTTAGATGAAATTGATGAAAGAAGTGAAAAGGGAAAGAGAAGGAATCAGAAAAGGCACAAGCAATGCATGAAAGGGAGATGCCGCAAGTACCGCTCAGGGGCATTTTCCCCCTGAGCGGTGGCATCGCTGAGGGTTGTTTTCCCCCTCAGCGCCACTTTCCAGATTACGTCAGAACCGCTAAGGGGCAACTTTGCCGCTAAGGGGAAGAATCGCTATGCACTATTGCTGCTGAGGGGCGTTTTCCC